ATGAAGGGGCTGAGGAAAAGTGAAGAGAAAGAGGTGTAACCTCTTTGGGCAAGAAGAATGTCAGCTCCATCCTCTGTATTAAGCATAGTAAACATATCCATGTTCTGTTCCTAGAGATGATAAAGAAGATAAAACCATAGACTAGAGGAAGAACCATGATTTGATCAGTGAAAGAAAAGTCTAGACTAGATAGAAGCAGAATAATAAAGCACTCTGAAGAGTAATGAAGTTCCAATCTGAACTCACACATCATACTCCCAGCACTTACGTGCACTGATAGTTCCTGTTGACCTGTCTGTGTCTGCCACTAGGTTATAAAGCCATTGAAGGCAGGGACTATGTATTACTCATCTTCTTATCTCCAGGGCCCATCGTACCATGGCAGGCAGTAGTTGCGCAGTAAATGTTTGCTAACTGACCAATAAATACATTTGTGAATGTAGGTATGTATTCATAAATTCAACACCCATGTTAGGTGCTCCTCCAGAAGCATGTCTGTGTTGTGCTGCAAATGCCAAGACATCTTAGGAACCTTTCTGGGAAGCCAGGCATCTCTGTCTGCAGACACCAGACATGATGCCTGGGCTTTCCCCAACTGAGACACAGACCTTGGAGGCTCCACTGGGACTAGGTAAGGTCTTCAGGAAGGTACAAGAGTAGAAAAATTCAGGGGGTCTCTGCCTGGTAGTGGGCCTCCGGAAGATACTTTGGCTCTGTCTCCAAATTGTCAATGCCCACCAGCCAAACACCACCAGGACACTATTGTGGTTGCACAAGTTGGCTTTATTGCTCACTGCAGTGAGAGGGAATGCACACCATGGGGAACCACGGGGTGTCTCAGGAAGAGGGTGCTAGAAAGGACTTATTATAGGATTTGAGCTGGGCTGGGTGATTTGGGGGAGGGTTTAAGGAAGCCAGGCTTTGCTCTGGATTGGATGCTGTCAAGAAGCAGGGATAATTCGATGATTGAGTGTCTTATTAAATAAATCTTATCCAATAAGAGGGCAGACTAGAGTGAGGCTAAAACTATAATTTGTAAGGAAGCAGCAGTCACTCAGAATAGCCAGGAGAGAGGGGGTGTTTGGTCATTTCTATGGTTTGGGTAATGTTCATGTTTTTGTCTGTGCTCACACATGACTATGGAGTAGACTTGTTTTTTGTCTAGCTCCTCCATGGTCAGAGTTGCCGCGTACAATGTGAATGTCTTGTGAGTCTGTTTACATTCAACAGAACACCCAGGCCTAGCAGTGAGTGCCAGGTCAGTGTGCAGCAACACCAAGGCCTAGCCGACAGTCCCTGGCCAGCTTCTGGTTATCAGGGACTGTGTTTCTCTTTCTCAAAATGTCAATTTTGAGATGATCCCTGTTTTCCAACCAGGGCTTGGCAGTCCAGTATCTAAATATTTAGACCCTCCCTGTACTCTGACCCAGTCACACCCATCTGTAGAACCAGCCAGGCAGGGGAACGTCATCACTGGCTTGGGCTGTGTGTCTCTGTGTGCAGTTTTGTGTACATGTGTCTGTGCCCACCAGAAATTCCCTGATAAGATGGGAAAGAGGCTACACGCGGTCCTACTTAACCTCTGGGCCCAGTAGGACTTCCCCTCTTCCCGGAGAGCAAGGCACTGGGATTGAGTCCCAACAATCTCTAGGACAGCAAGGGTGCCCAGCTGTAGGTGGAGTCAGGGAAGGACAGAGGGGATATGGCAGCAGCCAAACCTGAGAGGAGCGGGAAAGGGAAGGGGTAGTGGTGGAAGGGAGGGGAGAGTTCCTTTGTATAAATGGGTCTCTAGAGAAGCTGCTGATTTTCCTTCAAGGAAACAGCCTGCAGTAGGTCACTGTGGATTCCCCACCCCTATCCCTTTCTGCTTTAAGCCTCTTGTCTCCAAAACAGGCCCTGTTGATTAGAACAACAACAAAAAAGTCACATATGTTGACCTCATCCTCCACTAAGAGGCTTACTCTGACCCCTTTCCAAACACACTTCCTTCCCTCAGGTCCATCTCTCCAGCTAAAGTACGAGGACATCTCCTGCTGTGCCTTACACGTGGCCAGGCAGAGGCTAGTACCATCGTGATGTGATGCCGAGGTGCCACTGGATATCATTTGTAAAATGGAAAAGAAAAGTGAGGTTGAAGTCAAGTGGGTGGGCTCCAAATGCTTGATATTTTGGCAGAACCCCAACTCTTCTTTGCAGGGTGTGACTAGCCTTGTACCGCATTGTGCTGTGGCCCAGCTAATCACGGGCCGGCTATCGAGGGCCAAACCTCAACTGGCACCACTTGGCTGTACAGTCAGAAATTGGTCCCTGCGATCCTTGGGGGTCTGGACAGATTAAACACATCCTGGATTAAGTGGCAAGTCGCAACAGTGGGTGAAGTGAAGCAGGTTTGAACATCCTCCTGTAACCTGAATTACAGAGACCAGAGGCTACAAGGCAGAGGCTCATTTTTACAGTAAGCCCTGTTATCTAGCATCATCCAACCAAGCAACGAAGGACTTGTTCAGCACTTTGCCAGGGTTTTGGGGGGTGGAGAATGTGGTCCCCATCGTGAGAAAAAAGTCTCTGCTCTAGGACAGTTTACAATCCATTTAGGGAGCGAACACTAATAATGCAGAGAATGACCTAAAGAACAAGGAAGTTCAAAGGCAGTAAGTACAAGTGGAGTTCAGAAATGAGAGAAATATGTATGGACACTTGTCCAACTGGTACCACGTCACCAAGGTAGGACTTGATTGGGGCCTTGAAAGATGCACAGGATTTGGATAGGTAATAAGGAATAGGGATGGCATTCCAGATGTGAAGAGCATAAACAAAAATTTAAAGATGGCGACAGACCAGATGTGTACGTGTGCATGTGCACATGCATATGAAGTCGTGGGAAACAAGGTCAGACAGGCAGAGTGGGCTGACAGCAGGAGTGCTATGGAAGACTTTGGATTTGATGTGGTTGGTGACAGGGAGTCACTGTACATTGTTCAGTGGGGGTAGAGGGTGGACACGGACCAAGTAATGCTTTAGGAAGTGATTTAGCAGCAGTGGTTGGCTGAGGATGGATGCTCTGGTTGATCTCTCCATTCTTGGTGTGTTCACAGTACTTTGTGTGTCTTTCTATGGACACATCTCACTGTATTGTACTTCTGCGTTCACAAGTCTGCCTTCCTCACTGACACCAGGAGTTCCTTAAGACAAGTGGCCATGTTTTCCATCATCTTCCTATTCTGGCATCTCCTTGGCTTATACTAGACATTCAATGAACACTGATCATATGAATAGATCATTTCGTTTTAATTAACTGAATTACAACGACATACCATACAAGAATGACAACTGTCAGAGAATTAGACTAAATTGCACATAACACTAAAACAAGACAAATCACAATTTGGTCTTTTTTTTTTTTTCTGGTGAGGAAGATTGGTCTTGAGCTAACATCTGTGCCAATTTTCCTCTGTTTTGTATGTGGGACGCTGCCACAGCATGGCCTGGTGAGTGGTGTGTAGGTCCACGCCCAGGATCTGAACCTGCAAACCCAGGCTGCTGAAACAGAGTGCACGAACTTAACCACTACGCCACCGGGCCAGCCCCACAATTTGGTCTTTTTTAAAATGATTTGTGAAACACTTCAGGATCTTTGCGTGTCTTACCACCATCTTTGGAAGCAGCAGTTATTACTGTATAATAAGTCCCATCTCAGAGGATACAGGATGCGTTTTCTGTGTATGGATTTGGATATGTCCTGCATCAGATCATGCTTCACTAAACCTGTACACATATAGTAAGAACCTGTTCTAGTGCAGCTAATTCTTAAAATGGAGATCTGTCTTGCTTCAGTGTTTAGAAGGGATTTTGTTGTAGCTGTGACTCCCTTTAAACAAATCCAATATTGAAAAAAATCCAGACTGGTAATAATTTTCTCTTTACAAAAATATTCATGATAGGACTCTTGAAAGTTGTAAAAATTTCCTCTTAATTGAAATAAGATTTGATTTTAAAAAGTTAAGTCACTTGAAATGCAAAAAATAAGTTGATTTATGAAACACTGACTTCTATTCCCAGGAAATCATGTGTAAAGTGAGGTGTGCCTATAAGCCTATTTTACTTATTTTTTTAAATTTTTTTTATTTTTTCCCCCAAAGCCCCAGTAGATAGTTGTATGTCATAGCTGCACATTCTTCTAGTTGCTGTATGTGGGACGCAGCCTCAGCATGGCCGGAGAAGCAGTGCGTCGGTGCGCGCCCGGGATCCGAACCCGGGCCGCCAGCAGCGGAGCACGCGCGCTTAACCGCTAAGCCACGGGGCCGGCCCATATAAGCCTATTTTAGATAAGAGGAGTTGGGAGAGGGCAGCTTTCTAGTTTGGGGGACAGTGAGTGGAGGAGTCAAGAGATCACGATCCCTCAAGGAGCGAGTCTCCAGGTTTAGCCATGAAACACTGGGTCTCTGAACCCTTGTTTCTGTTTGCAGTAAATGTCCTTTATGGCCCCCACACAGGACCAATTCAGTTGGGACAGGGGGAACATACAGGAGTTATTCCAGGTAAAGCAGAGTCTATTCCATATGTTTATGTGTTCACTCATTCAACAGTGATTTACTAAGCACCTTCTGTGAGCCAGACCTTGTGCTAAGCTCTGGAGATATAACCATGAGCAAGATATGAAAGCCACGGCTCTGGCTTCTAGGAAGCTGCAGACCAGCAGGGAGACATATAAACAGGGAACAGGCTTGGAAGGGTCAGGAAAATCTTCATACAGACCAGGACCTTCCCCAGAGGAGGGAAGTAGGGTCGAGTGCTGTGGGCAGAGGCCATAGCAGGTGCATACAGAGAGGTCTGGAGGGGCAAGAGAGAAGTTCAGGGAATGGAAAGCAGTTTCGAGTGTGGAGCAGGCAATACAAGGCTGACAAAAATCACACCCTTGGTAGTAACTCCAATCCGCTTGCTCTCTAATATGCATAGCTTTCCTCCCTTTACCCACCCACTCCCTCTCAAAGAGAACAGAATTTAATGTAGAAGAATCAGGTTTTATTTAGTGATGTGAACATTAAGAATTTGCCTACATGGTTGAAATATTCACAAGGACTTGATCATTCACATACACACAGAGGAAGTCTGCTGAATAAAAAATGCTCCTTTACCCATCCAAGCTGCTGTTAGGGAGAGTGAAGTGCTTGCTCATTCTACTGAGGGGCTTCAGTCTTCATGAATGTTGAATAGTTTAGCTACTTCATTGAGATCTTCATGTTGCTCACCGTCCTTAATGATCTGAGGGAGAGAGTAACAATGGGTCACTAACTCACTTCGCATGCATTCAGGCTGGGCCACACAATGCATCAGCCTGGGCCAGTCCCCACATCACACTGGGAGGGAGTTGTGGGAACAGCCTTATACTAACCCCAAATGAGTGTGTGCCAACTCCCAGGCCACCCAGCCAAGTCCTGAGTGAAAAAAGAAACATTCCTGAGCCAAGGCCATACCTTTGTTCTGCTCAGGCACAATTTGACCTGGGTGGACAACACATAGCAGGGCACCTGATGAAGTCACAGGAGCATTTTCTGGCCTGCACTTCCCATCTTCCCCTAAGACCTCTGACAGGCACTTACCTTCCTTGCTATTGGCATTCGGTTGAAGATGTTCCACAGCACAATCCCCACCACCACTTTGTCCCTGAGGTAGAAGATGACACCTTTGCCATAGTCCTCCCCTTGGGTGGGGGCCTGGGGGACTGCAGGGCTGCTGGGAGGAATAGCGATTTCTGAGGCCTCGGACTCTGTCTCACTCTCTGATCGGATACCAGTACCTGTGGCCAACCCCCAAAACAAAGTCAAAACAAAACATAGTTGTTATGAGCTTGGGAAATTCTAGAAGGCAAGTCTCCTTCAACACCTGCTTCAATCTGCTTCTAGATTTGTTTTTTTATGCCCCCTCAGTAAACGCTGGCCTTCTCCAGCCCCTCTCCACTGACAAAGCCAACAAAAGCTCTTCCTTGCCAGCTCCGGGCACTGGGTCAGTCTGACCCAAAACTTCCTTCACTTACTATCTCACTTTAAATTTACGCCATGGGTATTTCCCGGTATCTGGATTTCTTCAAACTGCAGAAGACTTGCTCTTGTCCTCTGAGAAACATTCTAGAGCTGCACTAGCCACATACAGCTAGCATCCACTAGCCACATGTAGTTATTCTAATTAAAATTAATGAAAATTTGATTTATTGTAATTAAAATTAAATAAAATGTAAAATTCAGTTCCTCATTTGCACTAGCCACATTTCAAGCGCTAAATAGCCACATGCGGCTAGTGGCTAATGTATTGGACAGAGCAGACATAGAACACTGCCATCACAGCAAAAAGTTCCTGGACAGTGCTGCTAGAGAGACAGTGGCCAAAGCAGAAGGCATTTCCATATGGAATAACCTGAGTGGAGGTGGTTCCTCTTGGGGAGGTGGTGGTATGGGGTGGGGGCACCTTGTCTTCTGAGAACAACCAGGCTCCAAGTAATACCGCCCAGTGGACAGAGTAGTGACCTGGGGTTTATAAATCCCTGGGTCCCTCTCCTAGATCCGCTTCCCAGGAGAGGTCACAATTTAGGAGTGGGTATATGTAATCCACTTGGATTACACAGGAAGACCTACATATCCATATAATATCTTGCTTTCTCCTTCTTAAAGAGCAATCTGTTCTTGAAATGCCTCTGACAAGAGGACACAAAGGTTAAATAACTTCAGCCAAGGTCATGGAAGGGAGAGAGAATTGGCCTAGGAGTTAATGAAAGAGATGTATGTGGGACAGAAGTTCATTCCAAGAGAGGTGCCTCCCGTCTAAAGAAAACCTGGCATTAAGATCTGACAAATGGAATTAGAGGCAGCTCAAGAACTACTCAGCTCAGTTCTTCACTGCCCATGGCCCACGGAGGATAGCAGGTCCTAAACTAAGGTTCTCAGGCCCAGTTCTTAGGATTAGCAGGAAGCAAAAAAAAAAAAAAAAAATCTAAAAAAGTTCAGGTTTTCTTCATCATGCAAGTCTTCCTCTTCCCGAGAGATAAACTAAACAACAGAGTCGTTGAGCTAGCCACTGTCCAGAGTCTAGGACATACACCCACAATATCTGAGTCTCCGCTTTGACAGGGATACCTGATTTTGCCAGCTCTCAGACCACTAAAGAGTGAGGGCTTCGAGTTCGGTTTATTTTAAAGCACAACATGAAGAGAGGCTTTCACTGACAGTTTTCTCTGGCCAATACAGAAACCCCTTGTCCAAGAGAACCTGGACCACTGCTTCTCAGTTCTCTTCCAGAAGAAGTGGTTGGGCTTCCTTACCTGACTGCTCTGTGGCAGATTTTGGGTTGTCTTGTGCAGTTGCTTTTGCAAAAACACCAACTGTGGGCAAACTACTGTCCACAAGACCAATAGCTTCATAGCCAACATCAGGGCCCAAATCACTCCTAAGGAAGGAGAGAGAAGAGGGTGTTTTGTCAAGGAACTGTAAAGAATGACACGGTAGTACATTTTCTCTAAGACACCGCACTTTCATGCCAACCAAAGAATCCAGTACGTGCAACAAGAAAATCGCCAAACTGATCTGTTGCCCACTAGGGCATCTGGGGACAATTGTGAGAAAGCATGATTATCCCAAGCAGCTTTTACTTTCCTTAACAAGCCATTATACATATCACATATCCATACAATGATCTACACTTTCTTAAATTTATTCATGCTTTTATTTGGGGAGTGATGGGTACTCCACATTTACTGTTCACTAACTTCCTTTAAGTCCTAAAAAACTGCCCTTTTGAAGCTTTAAAGGGTGCTCCATATCTATGGAATTCAGAATCTGAGATATTTTACGCTTTCATAACTGATAGTATTTCCTCTTAACCTTCATTTTTCAAGGCTGGAATGCTTTCTATGAAGAGGCACCTTCATCCACTTGGCCATTTGATTTCAATTGTTCTTCTCGGAAACCTCTGCTATCATCATCCTGCTGTTCTAAATATGCTAGGAACTTCACAGAATATTTGTGGCACAGACACACCATAGTTTTGCAATCATCTAGGCTACCCCAGCTGTTTTGTTTCCATGCTCTACACTTCGTTATCTTCTTGGCCACAGAAGCTCAGTGGATTGGTGTCTTCGGGGAACAGTCTACAATGACTTCTTGGATTCTGTTCCTGGAAGCTAATTGATAATTGTATAGCGCTGGACTATTTTTTTCCTAACTGCATTATCTTACACATGTTGACCCTGAAATCCACCTGGTATGTTTGTGCCGCCCACTCATAAAACTGTGTGTGATTGTCCTAAAATGTACTCCCCACCAGCTGAGAATTTCCCCAACAGAAACTACTTAGAGGCTTCTGAAACTTTGAAGGTTTCTATGTACCCCATCTTTCAAATCAACAAGATGAAAGCATGCCAAATAGGGCCAGCCCTGGTACTCAGGACGGTCCATTGCTAACATTTCTCTCTCCAGAAAACTGCCTATATAGGCCTGACCTTGAATTGCTGATTTTAAAGGTTACAAATGAGGAGCCTGTCTTTTTTGTCAGTACGTTGGGCTCATTAAGGTTAGCAGCAAAGAGCAAATTAAAATATACTGTTACTATACTGAAGAGTACACTTTTGTACCACCTACTGTAGTTCAAACTCTGAACTCTTTTACCAGAAGGGCTGATGCCATCTCCATTCATTCACCTAGTCTAACTTAGGCCAAAGGGGACCCTTTTACCAGAAGGCTGCTCAGGGGTAGAATGCATGGACATGAGATGGATTTTTCCCCCCTCTGTATGAAGTTAACTGGCCCACAAGGGAACCAAACCATAACTCTGGTTCCATTACTTCTGTGTTCTAACCAGTTGAGTCCTCAAGGCACAAAACTATTACCAGAACATTGACTGATGCCAGTATGGCTTAGCAGCTCCAGTCATATTTTCTCCAGCCAATCTTCCGCTCACAACAGCGTGATCATGGTGCTCTACCCGCCTCCTACCCAACTTTATATCGTAGAAGCATGCGGCATCTCCTGCCTTTGGAGACAAATACATTACATGAGCACATGATTAAACAGCAAATTAAAGATAGAACATAAACTTTTGGGGCTCAAAAAAACCTTTCGATGTTAACTAATTAATATTTTCCATCTACAGGCCAGAATCATACCTACACTATCAAAAACAGTTGAAGTTCTGTTTTCTAAAAGCTATTCTATCAGTCCACAAAGCTAAGCTAAATCCTCTATGCTCCAGCTTACACCTATTTCTTCTCATTCTGTCCTTAGCAGAGACAGAATGCTTACTAACCACGATTTGCAGAACATTCTTTCCTATGTGTAGAAACCAGTTTTTATATATGACTGCCTCCTACCTAGAAATCTTTTCTAAGATAAGAATTTTTTGGTCATTCAGTATTCATTCATTCATTCGACAAATATATACAGAGTATTTATTCTGTACAAAGCATTATACTGTCTGGGTTGCCGAGACGAACCTGACAAGGACCTTGCCCACAAGGAGTGTATAACCTAGCTGAGGAAGTTGCAGCATTGTTCCTCACTACAGTGCAAGGCAAACAAGCCACATGCCATGTGAGAAGCACAGATTAAGGGAGCTCAGTGTTTCAAGCAGAGAGAGAGAACCCCCGGCTGGAGGTGAACAAGGCCAGCTCCGCAAAGGATGTGGTATGTGCGCTCTCTAATCCTTTGTTCATCTTTGTGACTATTCAGACTCCCCGAAAGCAACTAAAAGTCCAATACATGAGCAACGGCGAAATAAACTATGAAATCCACTTAATGGAATATTATATAGTCATTAAACTGTTTACAGAATCTGAAGCAACATGGAAAATACTTACATTATAATATTAAGTGAAAAAGAGAAGAATACAAATGTTTATACATAGTATGCTCACCATGACCGTCTACAACAAAGAAAAAATATTTATACACAAGAAAATAAAGGAAAAAATACACCAGACTATCAGTGGTTGCTGCAGGTGATTTTCCCTCTTTCTTGTCGGTGTCTTCCATATTACACATATTGCTTGTATAACGAGTTAAAAAAATCCAGTACATGGGCCGGCTCCGTGGCTTAGCGGTTAAGTGCGCGCGCTCTGATGCTGGCGGCCCGGGTTCGGATCCCGGGCGCGCCCCAAGGCACCACTTCTCCGTCCAGCGCGAGGCCGAGTCCCACGTACAGCAACTAGAAGGATGTGCAGCTATGACACACAACTATCTACTGGGGCTTTGGGGGGAAAAAATAAATAAATAAAATCTTTAAAAAAAAAAAAAAAAAAAAATCCAGTACAGGGCCGGCCCCGTGGCTTGGTGGTTAAGTGAGCGCGCTCCACTGCTGGCAACCCGGGTTCGGATCCCGGGCTCGCACCGACGCGCTGCTTCTCTGGCCATGCTGAGGCCGCGTCCCACATACAGCAACTAGAAGGATGTGCAGCTATGACACACAACTATCTACTGGGGCTTTGGGGGGAAAAAATAAATAAATAAAATCTTTAAAAAAAAAAAAAATCCAGTACACTTTATCTTTAAAAAAAAATCCAGTACACTTTATTTTAAAAAAAAAAAGCTCAAGGGAAAAACACCCTTCAAAGTTCCTATGTCCTTAGTTGCAGAGTCCACAATCAAACACAATACACTTGTAATGATCTAACAATGGGGAAATTACCTCATGGTTCCTACATACTATAGTCTTGTTTGTGTCATAACAGATTTTTAAAAACAGCTAAAAATAGTACTCAAGGAAAATGAAAACAGAGTAATTTTCCTTTCTAGAGAACGTTATAAAACTGCCTCGTCCTCCATTCCCTGGACTCACGTTTGGGCAAAGGCAATAGCAGATCAGTCTGAAAGCTGTATACACGCCTGCCAGGGTGATGCCGATGGCTGCTGCCAACTGTGGAAGCGGAAGAGCTCTACCTCTGTAGGCAGGCGCACTGTTCATTTCCTTTTCCACTAGCTTGCAGCATGAGGTCGTACCTGGTCTTGTAAATCAAGCAGTTTACAAGTTTCTGTTTTCTACAGAAACACTCTGACCCTATTTGGGTAAGCTGCTGATGAGTTTTAGCATACCACCGGGCAGACTTGCTCAGACACTGGGGACAAGGAAGCGCGCCTGGGCTTGCTGTAGCAGACTTACCACCCAGATGTTAGAGCGTGCTTGGAGCTCCGCATTTACCCGGAAGCCACCAAAATCTGAGTCTATCTCTAGTCCACCAGTCTTGGCCAACTCAACATTGGGCTCCAGGCCCACAGCTGCCACTATGTGGTCAGTTTCTACCTGAGGAAAAAAAGAAATAATTCAGTCAATCACCACAATTTCCACAGATGCCTATGAACATAGCAACTGCAAATCATGTCATTAAGAAATGGGGCTCAACTCAATAACAAAAAAATAACCCAATTAAAAAACAGGCAGAAGATATGAACAGACATTTTTCAAAAGAAGATATACAGATGGCCAATAGGCACATGAAAAGATTCAACATCACTAATTATTAGGGAAATGCAAATCAAAACTACAATGAGATATCACCTCACACCCATCAGAATGGCTATTATTAAAAAGACAAGAAATAACAAGTGTTAGAGAGGACATGGAGAGAAGGGAACCCTCATACACTGCTGGTGGGAATGTAAAATGGTGAGGTGGGAATGTAAATTGGTGAGGTGGGAATGTAAATTGGCACAGCGACTATAGAAAACAGTATGGAGAGTCCTTAAAACATTAAAAACAGATCTACGGTACGATCCAGCTATTCCACTTCTGGGTATTTATCTGAAGAAAATGAAAACAGTAATTTGAAAGGATATATGCACCCCCATGTTCATTGCAGCATTATTCACAATAGCCAAGACTTGGAAACAACCGAAGTGCCCATCAACGGATAAATGGATAAAGATGTGGTATGTACATCTATAATGGAATATTATTCAGCAATAAAAAAGATGAATCTTGCCATTTGTGACAACATGGATGGACCCTCAGGGTATTATGCTAAGTGAAATAAATCAGACAGAGAAAGACAACTACCATATGATTTTACTCATGTGTGGAAGATTAACAGACACACAGAGATACAGAGAACAGATTAGTGGTTATCAGAGGGGAAGGGGGTAGGGGGAGGGTGAAAGGGGTAAAGGAGAACATGTGTATGGTGACGGATGGCAACTAGACTTTCGGTGGTGAACATGATGTAGTCCATACAGAAGTAAAAATATAATGATGTACACTTGAAATTTATATAATATTATAAACCAATGTGACTTCAACAACAAAAAAAAGAATTGGGGCTTTACAAAAAAATCATTGGTTAACTAACCTTTGGTAAACAGATTTTAAGTTCTGTTTCATAAAGTCTCCCCCTCCACACACACATACACCATATCATCTGAACAAACACCTGCCACTCTAGTAAGGTCTCAAAAATTTGTGATACAGATAGGAAGGGGCTACAGGAAGGTGGTTCACAGGTGTCTACTCTGGCTGTCATCACTCTTATTTTAATGGAGGGACAGTTCATTCAGAAAATTATGACAGGTTAATGGTGGCTGCCAAGAAAATTAAGCTACTGGTATCAAATGGAGAAGTAAGAATGAGGAAAGGGGAGGGCTAGAAGGTCTTCTGGCAGCCTGTCTTCCCCTCCTTACCTTCCGGCCATCTTTCAGCTTGATGAGTAACTTGCCACCGCTGACTCCAACTGATTGCACAATAGCATTGGGCAGCACCTTAACCCCCTCTGTGAAGGCAAACAAGACCAGAGGCTGAGGCTGTGAGCCTAGCACCTTCATGAAAAGTTGACCAGACCAGAGGCATCCCCCGTCATAAAACTGGTAATCATCAGTATGCAGGCAGCCTTGGAGAGCCCCAAGAACCTACACCCACAGTTCATTTTCAGCACTTCTGGGAATCTGGTGCATCAGATTCAGAACACCTACATGGACTTGGCTGACTGGAGAATGGTGGAAACATTTCATCTGCTAGGTGATATGGCTTACGTCAAGAGGGTTCCTGGGCTGGCCCCGTGGCTTAGCGGTAAGTGCGCGCGCTCCGCTACTGGCGGCCCGGGTTCAGATCCCGGCGTGCACCGACGCACTGCTTGTCCAGCCATGCTGAGGCCACGTCCCACATACAGCAACTAGAAGGATGTGCAACTATGACATACAACTATCTACTGGGGCTTTGGGGAAAAAAGGAGGAGGATTGGCAATAGATGTTAGCTCAGGGCTGATCTTCTTCACAAAAAAAAAAAAGAGGGTTCCCAAAGAAGCAAACTTCGCCTTAGGCCTAACTCAAAGGAAAGAATGGCAGCATATGGAAAGTCTCTATACCTCGTCTGACTTTTTCCATGGTCCAGTTGCTGAGGTATTCAGGAAGGATCTTTCCCATATTTCCTTTCTCAGGGAAGAGTTGAATCACTTCTGTGCCTAAGGCTCGAGCTGGGAAGAAGAAACAGAGTAGGCATAGCAGGAGGCAAAAGCCATTTATTACACAGAGGGCAATGCTGCGACCCAGGCCAGAGCTCCCATTTGTGGGGCACTGGAGCACGAGGGCACTCACAAGGCAAATACAACAGGTGCCAGGACTGTTGTCCCTGGATTCAACTATATACTGTGAACCCAGTGCACTTATGCCTAGGTGTCACCTCAGGCTTACACAAGTGCCTTGTGACCTCTAAATAGTAAGCACTTCCCTGAGAAGATGCCCTGATTTCACACAGCTGAAAAATCACGTTAAGAAAAATGGTTGCCATGAAACAGTTAAACTGGAACTCACAGATCTCTTTCAAGCTAGGAACCATCATGTGTCTGAAGGAAGTCTTTGACTTTTACAGGGAGCAGTAGTTCAGAGATACATACAGTTCTGTAGTTTACATTGCCCTTACCATCTTAATAACTCACTTTTCTTAATATTTTATTTCTAAGGAGTCCTGGCCTAGAGGCTAGAGGAAAGGAAAGAAAGCATCGCTGCTCAGTTGTTCAGATAGCAGTTTTTTGGTCACTAAGTGATCCCTCACCAGAACTAAGCTCAGGGCTTATATTTTTGCCATATCAACCTCCATCAAACTCTTTATATTGAACTTGGCAAATGTATCTCAGGAATTTCTGAGAGCCTCAAAAAGCATGTGATGTAAGACCAGAGAAAGAAAATTAAAGTCATTGCCCAGTACTCACCCTTTCTGCCAAGAGCACAGGCCAGTTCGCTACCAAGGAAGCCCCCACCAATAATCGTAATCGACTTGACTTCCCGGGAAATCTTCTCTAAGGTTCTAAAGTCTCCAATCTGCAGGATCACACCAGTTTAGTCCATTGATTTCCCAAAGGGGCATAGGATGATAATACCAGGAAATATTTTCCGCTAAATCTCTGACAACAGTAATTTGCACATAAAATCTTCTCCTTGTATAAAGTGGCTCAATTATAGCCTCTATGTTACTGATGGAAATCTTTCTCCATTGTAATACTCCTTCTAGCAACAGTGGTTCTCAACTGGGGGCAGTTTTGCCCCCTCCCCCAGGGGACATTTGGCAATATGTGGAGACATTTTTGGCTGTCACAACTGGGGGTGGGGAGGTGCTACTTGCAGCTAGTGGATAGAGTCCAGGGATGCTGCTAAACATCCTACGATGCACAGGACAGCCTCACAACATACAATTATCCAGCCCAAAACGTCACTAGCGCTGAGGTTGACACACCTTGTTCTATCAAGAAGTTAAAGGATAGTACAAATCTTTTCAAATACCCATAAGAGTGGCTGGAAAATCTCAGCAGTTTTCATAAGCAAAGCATGGTGTTAAGAAGCAAACATCCCTTCCTTTTTCACTTAGGTACTCTTAACTTTTCTCCCCAAGTCTTTACAATAGCACTTGCAAGGAAAAATGCCAAGAGGCTATAAGGAGTTCCAATGACTCAAATGCATCAGGAGAAAACAACTATGGAAGGGCAATCGGAAGGAATTATAGCAAGCACTAAAAAACACTAAAAGTATTTTTCCCCTAGGAGCTTAAAACCCTTGAATGAGGTATCTGAGGTACAGAGAGGGAGTGACTTGCTCAAGGCCAGATAATAAGTCTGTAGAAGAGCCATAAATAGAACTCGGATCTCCCAATTCCTGAGGGGTATTTGGGGACCACAAGATTATGCTACCTCTTCAAAATTGACACAGGGAAAGCACTAAAGCAGACAATTACCTTTCTGAAAAGTGTCGTTCTACTCTTCACCTCTGCTCCAGCCCTATCAATGGCAGACAGACTTCTTGGAGTGCCTCCTGGAAATAAGAGGAGGAAAACCCTTTAGCCCAACAAGGAGGAGCTAGCCCAAACAATCCCCCCACAAAGGTGGCGCTGTGGTGTATGCTCCTGCTGGTGCCAAAGCAGCATCAACAGGATACGAAGGCTTTGTTTTCCTTCAACTCGCCTCCCAGCAGGCTTTTATCAATTTCCTTTGAGAAGCAGATTTGAGACTCTCTCTTCAAAGGGCCCGCCCTCCCCGTAGATGGCTTTTTTTTTGCTTCCCTGTTCTCTTCTCACCAGATAGCATAGCCACGTTTGTTTAAGCAATTGCTTCAGTCTCCTCACTTGATTTCTGATTGGAACTGGCAATGAAGCCATGAGGCTATATCACTTTCAGGGCAGAGGGCAGAGGGCAAGGGCTAAGCAGGGAGAGAAAAAAGAGGCAATCCACTTCAATACCCATCTGTGCCTTTACTGGAAGGAACAGCAGGGATAATCCAGAAACGCTGTTGATCAGAGGCCTGTAGTTAACAGGGCTTTGCACCAAGAGAACACTCACTTCAGAGAGTCTGAGTTTCAGTTTTCTTAAGATTAAGTAATGCCTTCTATACTAAAAATTGGAATGAGCTGTATCAGGGAAGAAAGCCATCTCCAGTAATACTCACCTGTTGCAATCAAGCACTTTTCATAGGTTATTTGAGAGCCATCATTAAGTTTCACCATGTTGTCTCTCACATCCAGCTGTACTACCTAGAACAGTCACACACACACAAAGGAAGATGTAGAGATGAATTAGCTTAAAAATTTTATTGAGATATAATTCACATAATATAAAATTCACTGTTTTAAAGTGTACAATTCAGTGATTTTTAGTATATTCACAAGGTTGTGCAACCATCACCACTATATACTTCCAGAACCTTTCTATCACCCCAAAAGGAACTATGTACCTATTAGCTGTCAGCTCAGTGAGAAGAATTAGTTCTTGACCTAAGGTGGTCCTCAAGAAACCATTTCTAAGTTATCACTGATACCACAGTTTCTGGTACCCAGTTTCTTCAAATGGTTATAATTTCCTAAGCAGCCAACATTAGAACAAGTCCCTATAGTCCCAAAGCTCCTGCCCAATTTGTGGAAGTGGAGAACAGGGACTGACTTTTCTGCTTGGCTCTTTGGAAGCCTTACTTCTTTGTTAACAACTCTCCTACATCCTCAACATTTTTACAGGATGATTTTTCCAACTTCTAGCCTTCACTAAAACTCAGCTCCCCGCCAAGGATAGCTCATATGTAGCGACTGCTCATTCACCCACACCCCTCCTGTTCCTGGTGCTCTGAGGCGCACAAACCTATATCCCGACAAATCACTGTTATCCAGCCACCTCCTGGTCACTCCTCCTCATTCACTGAAGACCTTGGAACCTGGCTCATACATTTCCTCTGAGCCACATCCAGAATCTTCTCTCTTAAATCTCTACTTCTACCTCAAATATCCCGCTCTTTGGTCACAATTTTCCATCCTTCCAGCTTTCTCTCAGTCCCACTGTCACCTATACTTGCTTTCGATTTTCTCTGTTTACCCGCAGGGTCTTCTATTCCAACTAATCTGGACCAACGGTAGATCATCCAAACTGTTCTCTTGCCAGCACTCCTAATTCACCTTCTTATGGTGAAGAGCTTGAGCTTTGGAGTCAGAGAGACTGGGGTTCCAGTTTCTGCTCCACTCGTTACTAGCTGTGAGACCATTCATTCAAGACGTATTTATTAAGCACCTACTATGTGTCAGGCACTGTGCTAAGCGCTGGGGCACAAGTGTGAGAAAAACAGATACCTTCCCTGCCTTCAGAGTCTAGTAGCCAAGACAGACAATTTAACAAGCACTACAATCAAGAGTAAGAAATGCTCTGATAAGGGCAGTGCAGGTAACGCTAGGAACGTATGGCAGGTGTACCAAATTGAGCTTTCTGGAGGCAATGATGTAAACTGATATCATATGGATGAGTAGCTTCTGTAGCTGCCTGTGATTTGTCCTGAGTAAGCTCCCTCTTCAGTCCAACCCTAGCACTACTGGACCCCCACACTGCTCACTCTCAGATAACCACCTGGTATCCTAGTTTATTGCAAAAGTAAGTGAAGCCATTAGATGTGATCTTCCTCAGCTTCCCATAAGGGTTCCCACCTCCCAATCCCCGAATAAAAACTTTATTTCCTTTCTTCCAGCTTCTGGGATGATGTGTCCTTTCTGTTCTGTTTCTGTGCCTGAGCCCCATCCCTTCTTTTCTCTCCCAGAACCTTCCCCTATTAGTCACCCACTCATTCCCCCCTCTCTCTCCTGACATCTTATACCTTCAGCCCATTCACATGCTTCAGTCTGTCCCATCCTAAATGTCCCACCTTTGAGTCTATGTCCTCCTCAAGCTTTTGTCCAACTGTCATCTCTCTTTTCTTAAACTTTTTGAAAGAGTAGTTTATCCTGTTTTCTAACTTCACAATGATATCTGAACTGCTAAATCTAATAGGTCATTTTACAATTCTTTTCTTACCAGATTCCTCTGCTGCAGTAACACTATGGATCACATCCTCCTTCTTGAAATTCTGTCCAACCTTGGCCCCTGTCCTGGGTTCTCCTCATACTGCCCTTTAACTTCTTTCCTCGTCTTCTTTGTGGATTCTGCTTCTTAAGCCTGCCTCCTAAAAGTTGGATTCCCCAGGGTTCCATCCTTGTCCCACTCCTCTTCTGACTACCTTTTCTCTGTGGAAGGCCTCACCCCACTCTCATGGTTTCAACTCCTACACATACGTGGATGATTCCTGAATCTCTATTTGACCTCAGATCCCTCCTCTGAGAGTCACAGTCATATATCCAACTGCCCACAGGACATCTCCAAACAGATATTCCACTTCCTACTTAACAGTCCAAAACTAAATTTTATTTCCCCCTTAAACTAGGTCTTCCTCTTGCAATGTCTCTCTCAGTTTGGGGTACACAACCACCTACCACACAAGCTGGAAATCACAAAGTCATCTTTTGCCTCCTCTCTGTCCCTCATGTTCCACCTTCAATCAATCACCACGCTCTATCAAGTTTGCCTCCAGAGCATGTCTCCAGTCTGTGCCCCACTCTTCGTCACCTTTCTATCAGGAAGCTTTACAGTGATGTCAAGAGCTTGGGCTCTGGAATCAGAAGTCTGCAGTCAGACAGATCTGGGCTCAAATTCTGTCTCCACCACTTATTGGCTGTGTGATCTTGGGCAAGTTATTTAACTTCTTTTTAATCTCAATTTCTTTCTCTATAAAATGGAAGTAATAATAGTACCTACCTCATAAGATTATTGTGAGGATACAATGAGATAATACACGTAAAGCTTTTTTTATTTTTTTGCGAGTAAGATCAGCCCTGAGCTAACATCCATGCTAATCCTCCTCTTTTTGCTGAGGAAGACCGGCTCTGAGCTAACATCTATTGCCAATCCTCCTCCT